GATTAGAATTACTTTTCCCTATTTAAAGGGGCTTGTAACCCTAATTGAGGGAGGCAATTGAATTTGAGTTTTTGAGAGACTTTTCTCTTTGGTTCGTTTCAGAACTTTACAGAACTTATCAAGATTATTCTTGTGGCGTTCTAACCTGACTTATCATTCTCGTTGTTAATCGTTCGAGAGTGTGGCGTCAACCAACCTTATACCTCTGGTTCTTGTTGCATCATAGACAACGGGTCAAGGTTTTTACCTTTGGTTCTTGTTGCGACATAAACAACGGGTCAAGGTTCTATTATAAACCTGATTTAGCTTTCCTGGAGTTTAGAAATCCCTTGTTGTGCTGTGGGTCTCATTGTTCTCTTTGGGGTTCTCATCATAAATCAAGGAACTAATAAGACTTCTCAAAGTTTTTGCATCAACCTTTTCTACCTAAGGCAATTGATGTTGCAAATGGCTTGTGATTCTACATTTGAAATTTTTGTAACAAATCTTTAAGATATTTTTCTTGAGATATAAATATATCACCTTTTGACTGTTGCACTTGAATTCGAAGTAGATATTTCATAATTCCTAAATTAGTCATCTTATATTCCTTCATCATATTTCCTTTAAATTCCTCCATCATTTTTGGACTTAAGTTTGTATAGATTAAATCATTGATGTAAAGACAAACTATTAGAAAGTCTTGCATACCTCCCTTTTTAACATAAAGTAATGGCTCATTTTCACTTCTTTGAAATCAAATAAGTAAATGGGTGGAAAGGCCCCCTCTCATATTGCTACAATTATTTTTATTTTTTCACTTTTGTCCTCCAAGTTTTCTCACTCTATTTCACAAGTTATAAATGATTTTTTTGTCATTTGATATTGGGTTTTCATTTTTGCCCTCAGAACTTTGTTTCTCCATTTCACTTTTTATAGGGGCATGTCCATCATTTCATGGCCTATTCCCTTCCACCCCTCTTAAAGAATATGTTTTCTCTATTTTGCCCTTGGAGCTTTGTTTCTCCTTTTCTCTCTTGGAATATGCTTTTTGGGTCTTTTCACTCTTCCTATTTTTGTAGTGTCTATGCTGCTTTATTTCCTTTTCTGTGTATAATTGATTCTCACAAAAGTTGGTTGGTGGTCCTCGATCATCAAAAGGGGAAGTTGACTTTTGTGGGTTGAGCTGACTTTTGGTGTTTTGCGTTTGTTTGCTCTGTTGAGACTTGAGCACCAAACCCTCCATCTCTTTCGAATTTCAGATATGGATGATTTCCCATCTCTTGTTCATTTCTTTGATCTCAATCACATTTCCTTTCTTGTTGCCGATAGTAAAGGAAAATTGTGAAAAGGGTTAAATGAAGACAAAAGAGAGAAGTAGGTAGATCTATTGTGATTAGATCTGGGCATGGGAGTTTGATGGGGAAAGTTTTGAGTAATGGGCAATGGGTCACAAATGGAGAAAAAATTAGATGAGGAAGATCATGGGTTCAAGAAGGCTGGTCACAACCGAGGAAGAGAAAAAGAAAGAGACTCGATGGTGGCAAAACTCTTTTTTTATTTTTTATTTTTTCTTTTATTCTACCCTTGGTGCTTTGTTTCTCCCTTTCTCTCTTGGAACATGACTTTTGAGTCTTTTTTCTCTTTTGTGTTTCTGATGATCATTTCCTTATCTATACTTGATTCAATCTTTGAAAATCTAGTCTTCAGTGTCGATCATTGGAGAGGAAAATTTGAGCTGGATTTTGAGATAAATGGCAATCCTCCATGTGGTTTCAAAATCAATGTTCATTGTCAAACCTCAAGGAGCATTGATGTTCCTTTAGTGCTTGTGGTTCGGCTTTGCACTTGGCGAGGATGGGAAAATGTTTTTTTTTTTTTTTTTTGTATATGGAATTCTTTCTCTGGTTCAAATTTTGGGTTTCAAGAATTAGGTTTTTTCTTGGCATTTGTTGTTGATTTTGATAAGAAAAGTGGGTAACATTTTGTTGGAGATTAAATATGTAGTTCAAGAAATCAAATGAGAATGATTACAACAGATCTTCTCCATTATCTCTTGATTTTCATCATCACTTCTTCACACTTTTCTTGTGTTTGGCATCATCTCCCTTACTCTTTCTCATGAGTCTCGTTGTCTGGTGTTGGCATTGTTACCTCCACGCTGTTCTTTGGTGAGTTTAGGAGTTGTCAAATCATTCAATGTTTCCATTTATTCTCATAGATTCAATTTCAAATTTGTCTAATTTATTGTTTTTAAACAAGGGTTTTTACTTTCTACTCTATTGATCTCTGGCATCTTATTTGCCTCGCCTCTCCGTATGTTATTCGGTGAGTTTATAATTTATTCTTGCAGATTTTTAGGTTTTCAATTTATATAATAAATTGGATATGAACTAGGTTCCTTTATTCTCTGCTTTATCAAGTCACATTGTTGTATGCAATTTGGTGTGTTTATTGTCGAATGTTCGATTTTCTCTTTCAATTTATTCATGCAAATTTTTAGGTTTTCAATTTGTGTAATTAATTGTAATAGAACTAGGTTCTTTACCATCTATTATATCCGTTCGATTTGGTGAGTTTATCTATCAAATGTTCAATTTTCTATTTCAATTTATTCTTACAGATTCATAGGTTTTCAATTTTTTTCTAGGTTCTTTAGATCTTTGCTCTTCAAAGTCTTGACATCTCCTTTGTTTCACAATACTAATTCAGTAAGTTTAAGATATCGTTACATTTCTCTTTATTGGAAGATTTTTTGGTGTTTGATTCTATGTGTGGGGTCTACAGTATGTTTTTTCCCTTTCCATTTGTTCTTTCAGATTCTTTTAGGATTTGAGTATTTGCTTAATTGGATTTGAAGTAGCAATCAAATTGTTGTTGTCTTTAAACATGTTTACTAAACCCTAATAGGTTAAACCCCTATTTTGGTCCCTTAACTATTGTATGGACCCCCGATTTGGTCCTTGAACTAAAGAAATCCCTAATTTGGTCCTTGAACTATTGTACGGACCCCTAAGTTGGTCCCTAAACTATTGTACAGACCCCTAAATTGATCCGTAAACTATTATAAGGATCCCCATTTTAGTTCTTACTGTTTACCAATTTAGCCCCAACTTCATTCTTCTGTTAAATAATGGCTTAGAGACCAAATTGTGATGAAATTGTAAACAGTAAGGACCAAATTGGGGGTCCGTACAATAGTTCAAGGACCAACTTAGGCCAAATTATAAACAATGGGGACCAAATCGAGGGTCCATACAATAGTTTAGGGACCAAATCAGGGATTTCTTTAGTTCAAGGACCAAATCGGGGGTCCGTACAATAGTTTAGGGACCAAAATCGGGATTTAACCTTACTAATATTAACTCTATAATATTTCCAGCCAATGTTTGCATTATCAATTTGTAGATGGAGAAGCCTACTAATGGCAATGGTTGGGTGTTCTATTCTGGCAGGAGAAGAAGAGGCCCTAAACTCCCTATAGAAGCAGATGTGTCAATCTAGCACTTCCTCGATAGAGACAGTCGTGTGGGATCTCTGCACTATGTCTTTGATGGCCTGGACACAGAGGCCGCAAATTCAGTAGCTCTGGTAACATTCTTGGACACGAAGGATGTAGGCCGAGGTGCATTCCTCAACGAAGCAACAGCAATGGCATTTGATGGATTGGATTTTGGTGGGAAAAGTGACTTTAATTGGTTGAGTCTCTAAGTTGGTGAATGCCATGGCTTGAGATAGAATATTAGAGATTGGTGGCAAGATAGTTTGAAATGATAGAGTTTTGAAATTAAAAATCATCAAGGAAGTACAAAAAAACAAACATGTTTGTACAAAATTGTTAGGTAAATTTTCATTCATTAGACATTCATTTTGTTTATGATTAAAAGCTATGATATGGCTTTCTTTATATGCTGTTTAGATGACTAAAATTCATATAATCAAGAGTTACTAATAATATAATTTTTATTTGTTATGTTGTAGCATTACTCTTTCAAACTTTGTCTTATTACCAATATATATTAAATATTTTCTAGCAAATATAAGGTTGATGACAAGGTAAGTGATAGCTGGAATAGCTGTCATTCTGGCAACATGACAGTGGAGTAGAAAAATAAGTTAGATGTGTCAATTTTGTTAGTGTTTTTCTATTTTTCTCCTCCACTAGCTTAGAAACAAAATCTACCCATAACTTAGCTAGATTGGGTACCCCCAATTTAACTCTCATCTTTCTTTTAACACAAAATCTCTTATTATCATTATTTCCCTTATAAGGTGAGTTATAAGCATGAGGGAGGTGCGAGGCAAGGGGTGATTTAGTGAAGAAAAAGGATTAGTAGACCTGTCAGCTATTAGGTAAATATCTCACTTGCTTTTTAGTCTAAATTGGTGTCTTTTATGATGGGTTTATTAGATTATTAGCAAGCAAAAAGATTGAGCATGTTTACAAAAGATGGAGTTGGATGAAGTAATCAAAGAAAAGAGAAGGGGTGTTTTATTTGATTTGTTAAGAGGTTTGTTATGGGTTTTTGTGAAATAAGGAGAAGATTCAATTAGCTTTTTTTTTTTTTCTCTCACCTCTATGTTTTATATCTCTCATATTTTCTTTTCTTTTTGGATTTACATTGTTATTCGAGGCTGTAAGATTTTCTCTCTTCTTTCACCTATATTTGATATATTTTTATTCAAGTTTTATACAGGAAGGAAATACTAATACTTTGATAAGAATTGACTATAGTAAAGGAGTTAAATTTGGTTGAATCTGGACTGCTTTTGTTTCTTAATCTGATTTTGTGCTTTTATTGGTGGATGTCATTTACCGTTCAAAATCCAATAGACACCCAACTAGGGTAAGCAAGTTAATTGGTAAATGGAGACACAAAGTAGAGAAAGAGATTGAGCAGATTAAAAGTTCAATTTAGTCAAATGAAGCTATTATGGCTATGATGTAGATGGTATATCTTTTTCTTTTTCTTTTTTCCAAATGATGCACCCTTTGTTGAACTATACCATATGATAGTAACTGTGTTTTACAGAATGAGGAAGGTCAAAATTCAAGGAAAAAACATTCACAAGATTGAAAAGGTGATTTTGTTTCCATTCCTTTGGATTTTTGCTTTGCCAAATCTCATAAACATTTTCGACTTAGATGATATGTCAAGGTTGATCAAACTTAATTGGTAAATAGAAACCAATTATAAGATTTAAAAAGTCTTAATGTATAGTTTACAATATTGAGTTCTATTTGATTGAGTTGAAACCTATAAAGCTTCCATATAATATATCATTTCTTTTGTTACATCATGTCACAATCTATTTGGAATGCTGGCTGGTGAGGTCACAATAGAAACATTCAAAGTTGGACTTGACACCACACCCTGCAATGTGGGGTTGTGTAATAGATTGGAGAAGAAGCAACATCTCTGTGAGCATTTTTTTATATACTATTAGATATATATAACCATTATATTAAAACCTTTTTTAAAATCATTCCGCAAATTATAAAGATATTGAGGAATCACCAGTGGCAGTAGACTCTCAAGATGCTGGAAATTATTCATTGAGCAAAAGTGACTGGTCATGCTGCAAGCCAAGATGAATTTGATCATGCTATTGAAATAGTTGCTAATAGACAAAACAATTCAAGGTATCAACTTCAATAGCTTTAAAAAATATGAAAGAAAGGTGTTTACCAATGAATACTAACATGTTTATGTGCTTTTTACAACACTTTACATAGGGCAAGTAAAGGATTGAAGACTATAACGATTGAGAAAAAAAAGACAGGCCTACCAAAAAAGTTTACAAGTAAGATTACTCAAATAAAAAAAAAATATATTTTTGGGTTGTCTAAAACTATCATACTGATAACTACATTAATTTTGTTGCAATGTAGGGCTTAATGCAAGAATTAGCAAGTACCCTAAACAAAACACTAATTTATAACTACATTATAGAAGATCACAATAAAAACCACTTTTTTTGGATTTCAAGTAATGGAATTTGGGATGAAGGATGTCTTTTTTGAAGTGGCTTTGGTTGTGATCTCCAATACTTTAAGACTGATTTACTGTTTTATTATTTCTTTGTTGCGACAAGTTGTTGAACTTTTTATAGTTTTTTTATTAGGTATTTATGTTGGAATGTGAATTTGCATAGCAAATTGATGCAACTACTATCTATAGATTTTTGTTAAGTACTCTGGATTGCTTTTTCTTTTTTTAGTAATGTCTATGTCTTTCAATTTGGTTTGCAAAAACTTCTATGATTGTTGTGGATTTCTCTTTTCCACTTTTATTAAATGATTGCTACTAGGGATTGTTTTGGTGCTTTGGAGTAATTGATGAGTAAGTAAATTATGATTTGAGTTCATTATTGTAGTTTAATTATTCTCAATATGCTGTTATCTAATTTCATCATTTTATTTCCTAACCCTTGACTAGTTACATCCTAACTCATATTGGTTACTTAAGTAGAAAATAAAACGGTTGGATTTTTATTTTGAGGGTTTCAGTAGTCTAGCAAAGTGGCGAGGAAGAAAGGGTGGACATGAGTGTACCTTCTATGTCTACATTTTTTATTTAGTTGGACTTGGGTGTTGCTTTGATGGATTTTAAGTATTAGTTATTCATATTTTTTGCAATATGGATAAGTTAAATTTTGATTAATTTATTATTTGACTAATCATGGGTGTTTCATATTATTTGATGTCAGTACTCAATCTAAGCAAGAACTAAAATTTTCCTAATAAAAACTCAACAAGCTTCCGATGCCAACATGATACTTTTATAATTTTGAGGATTGTTTTGTGCATTTTGAAAATATAATTCTTTCCAATTTAGCATTTTGGTTAATTAAGTTACTTTGTATGAGTACGAGTATGTAATGTTAGTCTTTAAGTGGAAGATTGAAAACCTTTTTTGGAGGATAGTCTCACCAGCAAAAGGAGTAGTATAAACTATAAAGATCTACTCAAGCAAATTTCTCATGTTTGAATTTTTGTGTAAGGGATAATAGAATTTGATAGGATTAAGTAAAGTTTTGTATATGCATTACTGTGATACATAAGAATATAATATATTTTGTAATTCTTCTTTTAAGATTCAATATATTGCAAGCACCTTAGGAAGTTAAGTGGAAAATGCTAGAAAGTAATAGTTTTAATTTATACAAATTTTCAGACATAATAATTTATATATAGAGAGATATTTCTCATTAAAAGAGTTTTTTTTTTGGCCCATCCTAAAATGGACCAAATAACACACCCCACAATGTGGGGCGTCATCTTTAGTCCATTTTGATGGAAGTAAGAATCAATCTTATTCCATGCTCGTGGGGCTTGCTTTAATCCATATAATGCCTTCTTCAATTTATTGACTTGATCTTTCTTTCCTTTGACTATGTAGCCTGAAGGTTGAACCACATAGACTTTTCTTCAAGTTCTCTATTTAAAAAAGCAGATTAAACATCAAGCTGATGTACTTGTAATTCCAATTTAGCTACTCTTGCAAGGATAACTCGAATCATCTTCATTTGAGCTACAAGTGCAAAAGTTTCATTAAAGTTAATGTCGAGTTGCTGCGAATATCCTTTACCTACTAATGTGGCTTTATGCTTTGAAATAGTACCATCTTCATTGTATTCGGTCTTGTAGACCCATTGTAGCTTGATCACATCTTTACCATCTAGTAAATCAACAAGGTCCAACATGTGATTCTTCTCAATTATAGTCATTTCTTGATTCATAACTTTAATCCAAATGTCTTCTTTAGCTGTTGCTTCAAAATTCTAGGGCTTATATGCATAAATTACAACATTAGAAGTTTCATAAATTTCTCTCAAATCACTTTATAGGTTGTGATTCCGAATTGATATGCCTTCAATAGATGATGATGATGCTCCACTTGGATCTGAAATGAACAGAGAGAGGACTTGTTCTTCTAGAGCTCTTGGTTGCACTTAAAGGTTTTTGCTCTATCATTGTGAAAAGATAGGGAGCATTTAAAAAAAAGAAGAAGAAGAAGAAGTGTGCCATGTAATATGATCATAAATAAATCGCCTTGATCCACTTCTTTAGCGCGAATCTATTTGTCCAAATGCCATACTCAAAATAACAGAAAGATACGAGCAAGAAAGTAAACAAGCAACAGGGTTCAGACTCAGCTGGAAGCACGGATGTTCAACCCAAAACAAACATAACTAGAGGGTTACATCATGGCAGCATCGCCAACAGTCAACATACAACAAAGGAAAAAGAATAAAAGAGGAAGAGAAAACTAAGACACGTGACCAATTCATGGCAAAAAAGGGCCAGGATCGTCTCCGAAAGCCTTGGCAGCCTCAACGTAGACCTAATGAAGATCGACTGCACCGTTGGAATTCAGACGCTTCTTTTCTTGATTGAGCGATCCTAGATATGCCTTGGCTGACGCTAGCCCTTCTTTCAACTTGAGGATAAGCTCTTTTGTCTCAGCCAAAAACTTCTCCATCTCTTCAATATGTTTTGCCTACTCCTTAATCTGCCCATCCAAGCTCTCAGCCATGTCACCTCTGGTTGTGCCAAACTCAGTCTTCTCGAGGTATGCCTTTGCCACATTTGACAAATGTGTGCGAATAATGTTGACTTTGAAGTTTATACTTTTAGCATCGTCAATGGCATCCCTACACAAATAGAAGAAATCCTCGTTCATTTTAGCAAAGGGGGTTACCTCCATGTATCGCATGGTCGCATAAAGAATTGAGAAGGTGTCCTCGACCACCACTTTCTTGGCTTTGCTATGCGTCATCAGATTTGGAAAGATGTCTAACAGATGGTGTGCCAACGGTTCCAACATTGCGAGCACTACAAACTTACCCATTGCTCACGAGCCACCCATGGGCATTGAGTTAAATCGAGCCAATGAAATATCCTTATCCTCATTCATCTCGTCAAGATTCTTGAGTAACCTCATGGCAGAGTCATCGATCTCACCTGACTTAGTTGGAGCCGAGGACGACTGACCACTATGCTCGACCTCATTGGGGCCAACGACCTTCTTCGCTAAGCCCATGATTGGTGCACCAGCATCCATTATGCTTTTATTAGAGATAGATTTCTTTGTAGCATCACACACATCCGATTCAAATTCTTCGGGGGCAGCCCTATTTATGTCAATACTGTCTTGGAAACCTATGTATTTGCCTCTTTGTTTGGAACCATTCTCACTTTCAAATGAGGCGTCGTCAACACTTGATTTGTCATTACTGCTTTTGTTGGAATCAAAGTTGATTACCTTCGTGACCTTCTTCCCCTTTTCTTTACTAACACCAACTACAACCTTGGCCTTGCCCTTTTCAACACCTAGTGAAGTGAATGAGGGCACGATTGATCAATGAAGAAATATGTTATTTGACCAAGTCGAGTATCGAAATCCAAACCATTTCATTGAATGGTTTTAAGTACCCTTCTCATTGGTGGCAACATCAGTTTCCTCTTCAGTATAAATCCCCGGAGAACTAATTCAAAGTCACCAGCCCTCAAAGGAGGTAGTTCACTAATGAGACGCGGCTGTGCACAAGGAGAAAGAAGTTAGCTAAGTTAACAATTTCACCTTTACAATTGTCAAGAACGGTTTTTAGCTTTTATGGAGATGTAGAGGCTCATACCTTCAATATTGTCACTTTAGCTAAGTCTTTGCTATTTCAAGCTTTTTCGCTAAACTATGGGTGCCATATGAGACCTTCACACACCCCTTAGCCTCCTTAGCCTGCAGTAGAATAGAAGGGGGCTTAACAAACATGTTTTAGCATTTCTCAAGATATAAACAAAAAAAAAAATCTCAATTACAGAAGGTAAGGGACCAGTCCAAACGGCTTACCGTAGTAGGCTTTTGTGGTGGAGCTTCGCTGGCTTTAGCCTTCTTCACCGACTTGGTTGTGAAGGATATAGGGTCACTCCAATCAATGATAGAGTCAACAACACTAAGTATGTTGTCAAGAAGTGGAGGCTCACCTATTTTGCTGGCTAGAATTTTTCGACGAACTTCGAGATTTACCAAGGCTTCTTCCATGTTCACTACCAAGGCCTCCACCCTTTTAGCCTCTTTAGGTTTGGACAAAACTTTATCATCACCAGGGATGAGAATAGCACCAAACCCTTTACTAGAAGATGCCAACTATTCATGCAAACATTAAGCCACATGTCAAAGGATCTTTAGTGAGCTCAACAACGATCAAAAGGCACATAGATGAAAGGCTTAGCAGTACACTTACCTAGAATGAGGCGCTCGAATCATAGTACTTCTCACCCAAGCGCTTACTGCCGTAAATGGGTTACAACCTTTTGATTCGCTCGATTACCTTATGATCTGGATCACCCCATGAGCTTTCATCACTATCATTGTCTTTACTTGTCTCCTTTTCCTCGGTAGCTCTTACCTTGGAAAGTGTGGGTACTTTGGCCTCACTTTATTTGTTAGCTGGTGAAGCAGAAGTCCTACATGCTTTACTTTTGGGCAGATGAGCAACGTTCTTCCTCTTGCCCAGAACTGGTCTTTGTGAAGAAGCAGCTATACCAACTCCTCCTACAACATCATAAGAAAAACAAAAAACCATAGAACATTTTTCAACACCAGTTCAGTCTGGCCAAGTCTTTAAATGAAACAAGAATCGAAGTTTAAGATAAGAGCAAGAGAGTATGCTTTCTTACAACTCCAGCATCGTTAGCGGCCTCTTACCCGAGTTTTTCATCAATAGCGACAACATGATCATACTCTCACTCTGCCATGCTAGGAATAGGCAGACAAATGGGGACCCATTGTTCATTTTCCTCCCTCGTTAAAAATCCACAAGATTGTTTGTTATAATAGCTCAAAAAAGAATTATTATAGGTGAAAAGATGTTCACAATCTTGGGAAGCAGGGTCATATTCCACAACTTTCGGTAATTATTGAATGAAAGCTGCAAACTTCTTTAGCAGTGTGTCCCAATACTCCAACATTAGTGATGACCTGATCCACATTTTGGCAGCACTAAAAACTTAAGTGTGGCAATGTCCTCACTCCACATAGCTGTGGCAGCCTCATCAATGTAGGGCTGCATGGCCTTATTCTAATCTGTCTTGTCCGAAGGAGTAAGAGGTATATCCTGATAATAGCCAAACTACCTCGCAACTCTCTCTAGACAGTAGGACTCTAGACTCCATGTCCCCCGTCATGTAATGCACGATAACATGGATGGTGTGATCACTGCCAGCATCTTTAAATGGCTCGAATCTCCCATAGTAAAATCTACAACTTGGTTCTCAAGCATTATTGGGAGTGCCTTGTTGAAAAAGCTCACTTTGGGTGGAGCAAATGTCCTTGGCATTGTCTTATATGCTTAGAAATTAAAGCTACCATAGTCATCCAAAAGGCCATCAACTTCCTGAATTACCAGCCCCATTACCTTTTTTTTTCCTATCTAGGAGCAGGCTAACGGAGCTATTCCATTGGTGTAACCGCATTTTGCCATGGGATATTCCTTCAAAGCCTTCCCGCTAGTAACATGGCTAAGGTGGTATGGGCTAAATCTCTCCAATGCAAACATTTGCAACAAAGACAAACACACATGTGACTCAATGATGTAATAGCTAGCATTGAGAATCTCATCAAAGTGGAGCAACTCAAGCATGTGATAAAGCGTACCTAATATTAGTGAAGCTAAAGGAAGCCTCACACTTTTGACCAATTGAATTGCTAGAGGAATACACTTAACCACAATTTCATGGTTCGGGAAACCCTCAAAGACAAACTTACTCAACCAAGCTATAAGGAAAGCTACCCACATGTATGGAGTTTCCTTACCTTCGCTAGTTTGAAAGTACCACATCCAAGTTAGAAAATCAATGCTGTACTTTCTCCTCCAAGAATGAGAAAAGGCACTAGCGTTATTCTTCATCACCTTTTTCAAAGCCACCTATGTG